AAATAGGCCACCCACTTAATATCCAAGTTTCTCTTTCCTTTCTCCGTGCATCAAGCATCCTTTTCTAGCAGGCCCAAGCCAACTGCTTCTTCTAGATTGATTGATGGACGCTCCGTTTGACGAGTTACCGCTGGTTTCAACGGGAAGATCTTCATCTTAAAAGATATTAGCATTCCCCTCATGTATCTTTTCCTCGTTGGTTCTTCTCTTCATTTTGAGTCTCTTACTGCCAACAATGTCTTGTTTTCCTCAATGAAATTATTCCACTGTCTTTTACCGATGCCATTATTTTGTTTTTTTATTACTTTTTAATTCTTTCAATTCTTCTCATCTTGTTTTTAAAATTTTCCTTTTTCTTCATTTTATCAGTTCAGCTTTTTTTTTCCTTTCAGTTATTTGCTTTATTGCTTTCATTCCTTTCGTCTTCATGGTTAAATTTTTCTTTTCATAAAATCTTTTTCTTTTCTCATTTCTACACCATTTCCCGCCTTCTTTTCATATATTTCTTCTTTCTTAACTTCGTACACTTCTCTTAATTTATCAACCGTGTTTTATTTCATTCATTTCTTCATTTCTCTTTTATTTATATTTCCAATTCATTTTTTTTCATTTTACTTTTATTTATTTTTGCAATTCAGTTTTTCATTTTTCTTTCATTTATTTTTTCAATTCATTTTTCTTATTTTAGTTTCATTTATTTTTCAATTCATTTTTTTCATTTTGCTTTTATTTATTTTTCCAATTCATTTTTCATTTTGCTTTCATTTATTTTTCAAACTTTTTTTTTTATTTTAGCTTCATTTATATTTCAATTCATTTTTCATTTTGCTCTCATTTATTTTTTCAAATCATTTTTTTTCATTTTAGTTTCATTTATTTTTTCAATTCATTTTTTAATTTTTCTTTCATTATTTTTTCAATTAATTTTTCTTATTTTAGTTTCATTTATTTTTCAATTCATTTTTTATTTGCTTTTATTTATTTTTCAATTCATTTTTCATTTTGCTTTCATTTATTTTTCAAATCATTTTTTTAATTTAGTTTCAATTATTTTTCAATCTATTTTTTTCATTTTGCTTTTATTTATCTTTCAATTCATTTTTTTAATTTGCTTCCATTTATTTTTTCATTTTAGTTTCATTTATTTTTCAATTCATTTTTCAATTTGCTTTTATTTATTTTTTCAATTCATTTTTTTTCATTTTGCTTTCATTTGTTTTTCAATTCATTTTTCCTTTTGCTTTCATTTATTTTTTCAATTCATTCTTTCATTTTGCTTTCATTAATATTTATTTTTAACCTCATTCAAACGTACTTATTTCATTCACTTCACTCAAGTCTTTATTCCCTCATTTAGTTTTTAGTCTTCCTTTTTTTTCATTCATGTTGTCCTGCCTTAGGAATTTCTTTCTTTATACGTTTCATTTCATTCATTTCTTTTCCCTTTTCATCTTTCATCTATTTCAAATTTTAAATATTCACGCCATTTACTTTAAACTCCTTCATAAAAAACATAAGAATCTGCAATATTACTGGTCCTGATCTGGCGGCTAGTCTTAAGTCACTTTCAAACCATATAAGGTTGTGTCTTTTCTATAAATACTTTCATGTTAATTGTTAGGATGAGCCCTTCGCTATGATAAGAGTTTTTTTTTTTTTTTTAAATTTAAGCGCTGCACTAGACTGGTGCCATGATTTCATCAATTTACAGTTGAGCTGGCTAGATGCAACCGTAAGTTCTATGCTAACAGTTTCTTGCCTCGCACTTCTCAATTGTGGTCTCCCTTCCAGTTCCATGCTTTCCAGCCAACTTTAATCTGCAAAAATTTAAATGCAATGTCAATCACTATTTACTGCCCTTCTGATTTCTGTTTTCCTTGCCGCTCATTATTAATGTTTCTATTGCAATTTCTTTCGCAACTTGTGGCTTAGTCACATTTTCTGCTTTGCATGTGGTGATACGCATTTAAAAAGTATATATTTTTCTATATTACCAGCTTTTCCTCAACTCATTTCTTTCAGGTTTTATTCATTCCTTTCAATTTTTCTTTTAGTATTTTTTCTTCTTCATGTTTCAATTCATTTTGTTTTTGCTGCTTCCATTTATTTTTTTAAAACTGTTTCTGCTCCATTTTATTTTATTTCTTTCAATTCTTCTTGCTTTTCGAATTTGATTTCATTTCTTTTTCAACTTCATTCTCCTATTTCCTTCTTCATTTACTTCTGATTCATCAATTTCATTCGTTAAATAACTTCATTCAAGACTTGTTTTTCTTCTGTAACCATTCGATCTTTTCAATTTTTAAAATGTTTCAAATTCTTTTTCCTTTCCTTCACGCCATTCATTTCTTTCTTTCGCTCTATAAGTACAATGTCCTGGGTAAGATGATAAACAACATCCGCGTCCTGGGTGAGACGATAAACTATGTCCGCGTCCTGGGTAAGACGATAAACTACATGCGCACATCATGGGTAAGACAATAAACTACATCCACGCCCTGGGTAAGACAATAAACTATATCCAGATCCTGGGTGAGACGATAAACTGCATCCGCGTCCTGGGTAACACAATAAACTACATGAGCATCATGGGTAACACAATAAACTACATCCGCGTCCTGGGTAAGACGATAAACTACACGCGCATCCTAGGTAAGACAATAAACTACATCTACGCCCTGGGTAAGACAATAAACTATATCCAGATCCTGGATAAGACGATAAACTACATTTGCGTCCTGGGTAACACAATAAACTACATGAGCATCATGGGTAACACAATAAACTACATCCGCGTCCTGGGTAAGACGATAAACTACACGCGCATCCTAGGTAAGACAATAAACTACATCCGCGCCCTGGGTAAGACGATAAACTACATCCGCGTCCTGGGTAAGACGATAAACTACATCCGCGTCCTGGGTAACACAATAAACTATATCCACATCCTGAGTAAGACAATAAACTACATCCGCGTCCTGGGTAACACAATAAACTACATGAGCTTCATGGGTAACACAATAAACTACATCCGCGTCCTGGGTAAGAAAATAAACTACATCCGCGTCCTGGGTAAGACAATAAACTATATACACATCCTGAGTAAGACGATAAACTACATCCGCGTCCTGGGTAACACCACGATAAACTATACACTTTCTCTACCTGTCATCCGTCTCCTGGGTAAGATGATAAACTACATTCGAGTCCTGAGTAAGACAATAAACTACATCCGAGTCCTGGGTAAGACGATAAACTATATCCACATACTTGGGTAAGACGATCAACTACATCCGCATCCTGGGTAAGACAATAAACTACATTCGCCTTATGGGTAAGTCGATAAACTACATGCGCATCCCGGGTAAGATTATGAACTACATCTAACAGCAAGACCTCTGATCAGGAAGTTTTCAGTAGCGTAGAACCACCTCTTAATTGCTGGTGTTCCCAGGTTCACTTTGATCCTGGGTGGTAGCACCTGTTAGGTTACCAGTCTAAATTTTAATACCATCGACACATTTTTGTAAAAAATTATTATCAGCAATGAATTTTTGATGAAAATAATTATCACCATCAGTACATTTTTGTAAAACAATATACCATCAATACATTTTTGGAAAAAAATATTTCCATCAATACATTTCGGAAAAAAAATATTACCATCAATACATATTTGGAGAAAAATATTACCTGCAATAAAAATCTTTTCGGCATTATGTTGATGTTGATGTGTCGTAAAATAAACCGAGCCAAACCAAACCAAATATATATATTCATATTTTTATTCTTTAATTTTTTAAATATTAAGGATTCTTTTTTCTTCCTTAACATTCTTCTATCTTTTTTCTATCTTTTTTTTTCTTTTTTCGCATTTTCATTTCATTCTCTTCCTTTTCTTTCAAGGTCTTTCATTACTTTATCACTTCATCGAAGGCTTCATGCTTTCTTCTTTCACTTCTTTTTTTGTGTCTCTTCAGTTCTTTGTACAGTTTATTGATGTCTAATTGATTTTGTCTTTCATTTCGTTCAATTCTTTCACTTTAGCTTGTTTTCCGCCTTATCAAAATTTCTTTTTTTCTTTCTTCATTTTACATTTTTCAAATCCTTCATTCATTTCATTCAAAATTCTACATTCACTTCTCCTTAGAATTCCTTTTATTTTCTCTTCTTTACTCCTAGCCATTTCGTTTTCGTTTTTCTTACACTTCGTTCAATACTTCTTTTCATTCTTTCGTTTCTTTCATTTCCCCCTTTTTTTTTTCTCACACTCTTCTATAAACATTTCGGCACTTCTTCGTCCATTATATCCTTCTTCCTTTCATTCATTCTGTCTATTCGGTACGGGGTGCACTTTTACTCGTTGCACATCCATCATTCATTTTATTATGACGGAAACGTCAGTTTAGGGGAAAGTTGATGTAACGTCAATAAAAGCAGCGAAAGTTCTTTTTACGACCGAATAATACTGTTACCAATTCATATAAATTAAAGATGTTGTCAAAAAAGCCTGAAAACTTTTACATCACCCGAATATAAATGCTAACATAGACCGCTTTTGACGCTTCTCTCTCACTTGGGCCTACACACACACACACACACACACACACACACACACACACACACACACACACAAATATTACTGCCAGTCATTTGATCGGGTGTTATGGCAGTGTTGTTGCGCAGTTGAATAACTTCCTCTAAACATCTCAGTACCCAAGATTCAGGTACTCTGAACGATCTTCCCGTCAATGCAGAGCCCATGTTTTTACTCTATTTTACTCTATAGTCTCTTCTTATAAGCTGGAACAGGGGAAGGTATATCGACCTTTATGATCATACCATTTCCACTTTTACTCTTTCTTCCCCAACGTTCTTTCTCTTCCTCCTCCTCTCACTCTCTCTATCTGTCTATCCATCTACCTTCAACTACTATTGGCTCGACTCGATTCGTTATCTGCTCAGAGGCAGAGAGTTCGACCGTCAAGCCGAGAAGCTCG